GTATCCCAGGTGTACCCCAGGTGTGCCCAGGTGTGTCCCCACCTCGGTGAACTTGTCGGCCACCATGTACCGGACGCGCCAGGACTTGTCCTCGGCGGCCTGGCGCAGGGTGGGCATCACCAGCCCCTCCAGCTCCTCCTGCGGCAGCAGCTGCGCGATGCTCACGCACGCCTCCACCGCCAGCAGCCGCACCGAGTCCTGCAGGTGAGCACAGGTGAGCTCAGGTGAGCTCAGGTGTGCCCAGGTAACCCCCAGGTGTCCCCAGGTAACCCCCAGGTAACCCCCAGGTAACACCCCAGCGCCGGCCTCCACCGCCAGCAGCCGCACCGAGTCCTGCAGGTGAGCACAGGTGAGCTCAGGTGAGCACAGGTGAGCTCAGGTAACCCCCAGGTAACCCCCAGGTGTCACCAGGTAACCCCCATGTAACCCCCAGTAACCCCCAGTGCTGGCCTCCACCGCCAGCAGCCGCACCGAGTCCTGCAGGTGAGCACAGGTGAGCTCAGGTGAGCTCAGGTGTGCCCAGGTAACCCCCAGGTGTCACCAGGTAACCCCCAGGTAACCCCCCAGTGCCGGCCTCCACCGCCAGCAGCCGCACCGAGTCCTGCAGGTGAGCACAGGTGAGCTCAGGTGTGCCCAGGTAACCCCCAGGTAACCCCCAGGTGTCACCAGGTAACCCCTAGGTGTGCCCAGGAGTCCCCCAGGTGTCCCCAGGTGTGCCCAGGTGTGTTTTTATGCCCCCCAGGCGTGCCCAGGTGTGCCCAGGTAACCCCCAGGTGTCACCAGGTAACCCCCAGGTGTCACCAGGTAACCCCTAGGTGTGCCCAGGAGTCCCCCAGGTGTCCCCAGGTGTGCCCAGGTGTGTTTTTATGCCCCCCAGGTGTGCCCAGGTGTGTTTTTATGCCCCCCAGGTGTGCCCAGGTGTGCCCAGGTGTGCCCAGGTGTGCCGTACCTGCTCGTCCGAGGCCAGGTTGGAGAACATGGGGATGATCTCGCTCTTGACGTGCTCCAGCTCCAGCACCTTGGCGAACTCGCCCAGCTTGGAGGCGGCCGCGCGCCGCACCATGGGCGTGTCGTCCGAGCACAGGTTCCGGAAGTACCTGCGGGCACACCTGGGGGTCACCTGGGATGGCCTGGGGGCACCTGGGGGCACCTGGGGGTCACCTGGGATGGCCTGGGGGCCACCCATGGTCACCTGGGGGTCACCTGGGGACACCTGGGATGGCCTGGGGGCACCTGGGGACACCTGGGCACTACTGGGACAGTTCAGTGACCCTGTGGTCAGTTCAGTGACCCCACACCCAGCCCAGTGACCCTGTGGTCAGTTCAATGACCCTGTGGTCAGTTCAGTGACCCTGTGGTCAGTTCAATGACCCTGTGGTCAGTTCAGTGACCCTGTGGTCAGTTCAGTGACCCTGTGGTCAGTTCAGTGACCCCACACCCAGCCCAGTGACCCTGTGGTCAGTTCAGTGACCCCACACCCAGCCCAGTGACCCCAGACCCCCCCGTGGTCAGTCGGTCACTCACTGGCGCAGCTCGGCCTTGACCGGACTGGACACCCGGGGGTAGCAGACGCTGAAGAGGCCGCAGGCCGAGGTCCGGGACGTGAACCAGTCGCCGCCCGCCAGGCGCTTGACCAGCGGCACGAAGTGACCCTCCAGGTCCGGCGGGGAGTGCTCGTGGGACACGGCCCGGAGGGACTCCACCGCCTTGTCCCGCACAACCGTCTCCTCCACCGTGGCCAGGCTCTCCAGGGGGGGCTGCCGGACACAGGATGGACACACGGACGTGAGATGGACACAGGGATGGACACACAGGATGGACACACGGACACGGGATGGACACAGGGACGGACCCAGAGAGACGGA